ACTCACTTTTCCTTCTAGTTAGCAGAATAACAGGCAAAATAGAAAAATTAATCGCTGAAATCAGGTGATCATGCAGCATCGATCGCCACTCCTACTGCAGCCGCCGTCGCGTCCCAGTGAAGTACGCAATTACGGATGGCCAGTCTGAGGGATCACGACTGTACTTCCCTGCAGAGATACAATTAACTGGGCGCCACATTGGGTTACGGTAGCGTGGCGGTAATACTGAAGTTAGCTTCTTGTGTTCCAGTGCTGTTATACGGGAACGCAACCAGCTAAACAGGTATCTATGTATCGATCGGCGCTGGCCGATAGTGATCTGAGAGAGTGTACACAAACAGGAGGGAACGCGTTTCAACCACAGTCTTTACTCTCTCATTCTTCCATATTCTCACAGAACACCAGCAGCCAATCAATGCCCCTTTAGTTTTCCTCTATAAAATTAGAAGGCTATTGCAGTGGTAGTATAATTACGCGCGCCATGTGAAGTCTGAACGCTGCCTTGGAAAGGTTCTGTTCGTGAATATGCCCTAAACCTGGTGATCTAAGGAAAAAGATCGAAGAAGTTGCTTTATTGTGAATGCTGGCTTCACTGAAATTTTGTGAGATTGCGAATTATTATAATAATAAATTACAATTTTGCGGAAGACCGCCGTTTGGAATTGTATTTGTATCGTAGCACCGTTGTGAGGAATGAGTCCAACTTCTCTGTGACAACATTATCCACCTGCAAATGATTGAAAAATTGTTGAATTTTTTTAAAATTTCCGCCATGGTGCGGAATTGACCAGAAAATACGGTGATTTCAAGCTTTTCCGATAGCAAATGAAAGAGTATGAGTATTTGCTTACTGAAAGGAAATGAGAGCCATCCGGAATCAGTGTAAGATCAACATCAGATGATAGCAAGCGTTTTGAGAGGGCGATCGAGTTTTCATACGGTACTAGCTGAAGGGGATAGTTTATTGAGGCTCTGCCTAGAAGTAATATAAAGTCAAAACCAGACGCGTGTGACTGCGCCGCCAAACCGGAATCAGAAGGCAGGTAAAAGTTGTGGTAACGAAATAGGCGTTCCAAGAGGTATCACGCGCGCGGCATTCGCACCTAGGCCTGGTTGGTTCAAAGTGGCAGGGTCGTCCTGGATGGATGGGCATGGCTCGAGATTACGGTATCGGAACCGGCTGGTGCTCAGAAGGCCCGTTTCCGCTATACTATTATAAAGAATATTAATGAGCTAT